GCATCATGCACACTAGAAGGGTTTCCTTGCTTTACTTGTATCTTCAGTTGTGGACTGTCCAAGGCGTTTTCAAACTGATATCTTATCAACAGCTTGAAGACATCAGGTGGGGCAGTTGGGTAGGCCTTGTGTGTCATATTTTCCAAATCTTGTGCCAGTTCTTGCAGGCTCTCCCCTTTAGCATGGACTCTAGTCCTAAACCTATCCCTGTAGACTTCGGACTGATTTTGAGTTTCATACCCGAGTTCTAGAGCAGCTACCAGTGCTCTATAGTTGTGCCTGTCATCTGCTGACAACTGTCCACGTATTTCCAGTTGTTGTCCCTTCAGGCTTGTTGCCAGGTTCACTGCTTTCTGCTACTCTGTCCATCCATTCATTTCTGCAAGGAGCTCAAATTGTGCTCTATATGCTTCCCATGGTGCCTTCCCATCGAATTCCTGTGGCTTCTTTCATGCTAGATCACCCCTATTGCTGACACTCATGTCTGGAATGTGACTTCTGGTAGGACTGAAGATGTCTGCATTATGGTTTAGCTGCAGGGTCTGGAAGGGGCTTCCTGTTGTCTGGGGCTGACTAGGTCCATGGATAATATATCCTCCCTGTGTAAAAGACAGTAAGACGTCCTTTAATGTATTTAATTCATTTTGAAATTTACTAATCTTTTCAATTTGTACTTCATTCTGATGTTGTACTCTCTCTCCTTGTTCTTCTTGCCACTGTTGCTGACTTTCCCACAACTGTTGGAGACTTCCTTCCTGTTTCTTTTCTCGTTCTTCTTGTTTCCTTTCTTGTTCCAGTTGCCACTGGAGCTGGTTTTCTTGCCACTGCTGTAGTCTCTCTTCTTGTTTATTTTCTTTCTCCTCCAACCACTGCTGTAGTCTCCCTTCTTGTTTCCTTTCTTTCTCCTCCAACCACTGCTGTAGTCTCTCTTCTTGTTTATTTTGCTGTTTGAGCTGCTACTGTTGCAGGTTTTCTTGTCACTGCTGTTGTTTCACTTCTTGTTTCTTTTGCTGTTATTGTATTACTGCCATCAAATCTGCTAAGTCACAGTCCGGTTTTTTTTGGGCATGGGTTCGAATCCCACTTCTGACACGAGTTTGTTACGTATCTCCTTGTTTGTTTGTTTCT